ATTAATTCTCTTGGTTTGACTTCATGGAATTTAAAAAAGTAATGAAAGGTAAAAAGTGGGTTGTTGAAATGTGTCTAGAAGAAAAAGAAAGATTGTGGGCCATATAATCTTTAATATATTAAGAAAGGAAGTGTGACAATTATTTTAGGACACACTATAAAAGAAAGTGAAACGATTGATTCAGGACAGAAGGAGGAGAAGATAAAGACTAACACTAATAATAAGCTCCGAAGATGGTCCCTCTACATTGTCCTACGCCCTAACAGAAATGTAAAACAAACATCAACTATACACAAATATATTCAGGTGCTTGTTAGAAATGTGCCAATAAATCTCTGATGAATCAGTTACCGAACTTGTGGAGCAGTTTTTAATGGTCAAGCATGCAGATCACTATCTCACTCAACAGGTTTTGCTACATTTATTTTCTGTTTATGACAACATATTGGAACATAATGATCATATTATGTACTTCTTTCCCTTATTTCTTTTAGTTCATTGCAAGTGTGTACTGAAGCACTAACTAATACTGAGTTATATTAGCTTTTCTTACATTTAAAGTTGTATACAATGCTAAAAGACTGTCAGGAAATGAAGAAAGGCAAAGCCTCTATCACCTTTAAAAGAGAATTGGACAAAGTCTCTATCGCCTTTAAAAGGGAATTGGACAAAGTCTTCATCGCCTTTTTGAAGGACATCTCTTAATTCCAGAACCATCTACTTTTTGAAGGCAACAATATAAATACAAAACATTTGTTGCATTTTATCATTCTCTTAGTTCGCTTAGGGGCTGTTTGTTTCAGCCTCTTAATGGTTCAGATGTCTGAATGGTTCAGCACTTAATGGTTCAGACTGTTTGTTTCAGCCTCTTAATGGTTCAGATGTCTGAATGGCTCAGACATTTGTCTCGGAATGGTTAAGACCTCTTATCTGAATTGATCAGACATTTGCTTCTGAATAGTTAAGCAATGTAGTAGCTCTTAATAGTTCAGACCTCTTACTGGTTCAGCACTTAATGGTTCAGACCTCAGCCTTACTGGTTCAGCACTTACCTATTCAGAAGTTGCTAAACAGCCCCTTAGTGTTATGGGCTTGGCTGGAATTTTAGGCTAGAAATCAAAACAACCCCGTGAGAGGATGATGAAGTAATTTCCTACTAAAATGCAGATTTAGATTAAAGTCCAATCATTCATTACACAACGTCTCTTTTTTAGAGGAAAAAAACAGATATCTACACTTGGTAGTTCGGGTTCAAGTCCAAATTTAGCTATTATAGAAAATATATGTACTTAAGAAAAAAGAGAATATGTATACAATCACATATACAGTTCTTCTCGAAAAATCAATTTTTTATTAATTTATAAATACAACCCAACAAACAATTAAAATATAATTGATAATAAGCAAGAACATAGAAGTCAGAACTACACCCTTATTTTTAATTCCAGATCCACAACTCTCCAATTTTTCAATTAACATTCTAGACTTATCACTATTAGAGTTCTCTAACCCAATCATCTGTTCCCTCTTTTCAAATGCAATAATAAGAGTTTTACAGATGCTTTTCTTGTAATTAAACCTAATGAAAATTTTATTTACGATCCTAACTTTTGCATGTAGCGTTGCTGGAAGTATGAGTTTTGCATTCTACACTTATTTTGATTTCACAATTTTAGCTTTCCGATCTGTTAACTTGTTCCAAAGCAGCTTGGGAAATAGCATGGGTGGACATGAGGCATATGAAACTATAATTTAGTTAAAAGATGAAGAAACAATCTAAATAAGATTGGCAGGCCATATATTGGATATACAATGATGACTCTTTGTCAATTTTAAGGCATATGAGACTGATATTGTTATTGCCTAGGGTAAAATGGATGACGTTATCATACTCAAGTGTGGGTACTTGAAATCTGTTGGGCCTATTTGTTAGTGTTCCAGTTGTCCAGCAATCCTTCCTTGACGATCTCAAAAAAGGAAATACGGTGGAAATAAACTAAAACCTTCCAAGGCAGTTGCCATAGGGCATATTGAACAAATTGTTTTCATATGGTGACCATGCATGCAGAGTATAGGGTTTGGGCAGAATAGTGAGAAATCAAGACACGCATTTGCTTATAAATTGATCAGGAAAATATATTTGTAGCCAAAGAAAAAAATAATCATATGCTGATAATTGAGCAGTAGTTATTACTAAATCAGTATTAATCACCTGACCTCCTTATTCAGACCAAGACACCAAAGAACTTAAGGCTGATAATCACAACCACCTAACCGGCCCTTAAAATCTCATACTCTTGCACTGCATGTCAAAATCGTAATTGAACCCTAATGTGGCATCAGAGACTATAAAGTACCACATATATAGGAAACTCAAAAAATAGGATCTGTTCATAATATACTACATCTGAATCTATAAGGTATAGGGAAAAAGAGGTCTGAATCTATAGGGTATAAGGGGAAAAATGCGAAAAAGTCGTGGTGTATAGGATCTGTTCATAATATAATTGTGTATGTTATGATATTAGGAATGCAATATCGCAATCTATGAATTTAACAAAAAATTTGGGATTACGATCGAAACAAAAAATTGGGAATAGGATCGGAAAAAATTGGGATCTCCGGAACAGAGACTAAAGAGCTGGCATCAATGTAAAATAAATTCCTCTCAAATTCTTGAATAGTTGATGCATATGATTTTTGAAAATTACCTTGTCTAATAATTAGAGGTAGTAATTCGTCTCTGTGTTAAAAGAGGTTGGGACTTAGCCAATGCGTCAAACTGCATAATAGCGATATAAAAAATCTATAACACCACAAATCTACACCTTAACTCCCTAAGATCCTATCAACATTAATCACATAAACATATAAAACACGATGAGAAGAACCATGCAAATCACTTGGGTATTGGAAGCCTATGGACAATGGAATTTGCATTGGAAATAATATTTCGGAATAGAAGCCATTTAGTTAAGAGGTAACCTCATTCAGTCGCACTCTAACATCTTGCTGTTGTTCCTTCTCTACACCCCATTCTTCCAAACTGAATGAAAATGATATAAAAATTAAATAACAACCCAGCTCTGCACTCTATTCTAATTATTACACAGATATTGAGATATAGTTTAGGCAGTGTATACGATGGATATGTATTGGGAACATGTAAATCAAGGCATTAAATTAACACTTTATTCTTTGAAAGGTCATAATAATTTAATCTAACGGATGCATGACACGAGTTTAAATAACATATTTTGGAATTCAGCGTCAAATAACTTCATATCCATTCCTTATCAGCTGGATTTACCAAATTCAATGACCAACACTGAGAAACACATAAAGAGCATATTAAAGCAAAAAAGACAAAGAGATCCAACATTTAAAAATTGAAGTTCAATTTGGAGAACCATCGAAGAAGTAAATAACTTTTATAATCCTCTCACAGCTAAATAGCATTATACATCTCAATGGGATGCCAAGAATGCTAACATAATTAACTCACTTAAAGAGATGTCTAGTCATTCGGTGTTTTGATTCAATGAGAACACTAACCATAAAAAGCCAAACTCACTTGATGTGAGGAAATGGTCTCTTGTAACCTACAAAAGCAAAATTCACAAATTCACCCATTACGTTATAGCCTACAAAAACAAAATCCACAAATTCATCCACTTAATTCACAATTTTGACACAAAAGTGCACATTGGCCTGATTTTTTTAACAATGCAATGAGAAGGAGAAGTCGAAGTCGAAGACATGGAACCTGGACATCGAACTCGATGATATGGCCAATTCACAACATTTGCACCGCCGAAGATATTTCCGGATCCACCCTCTAAAGGAAAACAAATCTGAATCTAGCAATTTAGGCGTGAGGATCGCCTTTATGATGTGGACCCTCTAATATTTTTTCAAAAAATAATCGTTTGACCCCACATGTCGATTCAAAAATGTAAGTAGCATGACTGATTTTTTAATATTGGGAGAGATGGAGAGTATATCATTACTCCGTAACACTGAACTAAAATGAACCAAACAATTATTTCATCGTTGAATAAATTATATGTAAACGTTTTCTAAAAAAATATAAATAGCATGTAAATTTGTGGAAAAAAACATTTAAGTCACATAATATTGGTGTACTATATGTACCCCTAACACGACTAATTTTTTAATATTGGGAGAGATGGAGAGTATATCATTACTTGGCACCACTATAGTAAAGTGAAGTGACTCATTTTTTCATTATATCATGATTCTAAATAAGTGGCCTATGAAGGGCTAATAACCACTCTCAAGTCTCAACTTTAGTCACAAGTGGGCATAGTATAATTAAAATATACTTATTTTATAGTATAAACACAAAAAAAACACAAATCCTGTTGGGAACGTACACCAATATGATACACACAAAAGAAAAACATCATCCAAGCTCTAATTACATAATGGTCGTAGTGTGTGTGTGTGTGTGTGTTTATATATGAATTATGTGGTGAATTATCAGACTTTGACTTACATGTTCATCCATGAACACCATCTGAATAGAATTCCTAGCCCTCAACATGTCAGGAGCAAAAGGAAGTTTTAATCTTCAAGAAGAAAAATATGCGTAAGAAGGGATGTGGTGGGTTGCTCTTGAGGAGAATTCATATATAGGCAGAATATTATCATGGGAATCAAGGAATTGGCAATATAAGGCATGTAATTACACGTATTATGATTCAAAACAAATTGCAAATCGGAATCCAAGAAGTTGTCGAAAAAATTAGGGAAATAGAGAATCTTTAAAAATTGGGGAAACAGACACTCCAAGAATTGTGATGATTTTTCCCCATTACCAATGGGTTGACAAAACAGCATTTTATTAGCATCTTAAAATCCATGTGTTTATTATTCGTAATAAAAGTTTATTTAAAGCCAAATTTAAATTCCATTATGTATGTAATCAAACCTGGACCAAGAAAAATGTCGAATTGGTTTCCTTGAATTGCGAGATGGTTTTCTCGTCGAAACAAATGTCAATAACATTATAGGAAGGAACGAACTCATTGAAGTGTGCACGCCTGACCTCAACTTTTAAAAGATATGATAGTCTGTTAAAGACATCCGGTTGTATGTCTCCACCCGGCACATTCTGCGTGAACAATTCAATTAAGTATCAGTAAGTACACCAAAAGCAAGAAGTAATATTATATTGAGCAATGTTATTTTTGCTCAACAAACATAAACTGTTGTGCCGTGGAGTTAAACAGAAACTGCCGTTCATTACCTGCAGCAATGTTATATTGAGCACTGCAGCAAATATAACATTGTTTCCGTTTATAAAATGCAGCAATGTAGACATTGGAAGTGAGAATATAAAATATTCATATTGACAGTGCTCAACAAACATAT